CAGATTTTAATAATATATCTTATTTAACCAATATATTCAAAATATTATCATTGCAATATATAATCACAAAACAAAAACTAAGAATGAGATACTTTATATTCTTTTTTCTTAGCAAGGCTTTGAAACCTGGTATTTTACAGTTTCAGCACATCTCGATTCAGGTTAGCCACATTTCAAAAATTCAGGAGGTGGCTAGTGGAGGTCATAGACTGTGGAACTCAAAGGAATAGCTGTAGTGCCAGTCTGTAAATGAAAACACAATGATTGCCCCTTTAAAGTAGAAGAGAGCTTGTATGCAAATACTATGCATAACCAATGACACAGACAATAGGGTGGTGAAGGCCTGGGGTGGGGGCTGGGGGTCAATGGGGTAAAAAGGGGACATATGTAATACTTTCAACAATAAAGATTTAAAAAAATAAATAAAACATAGCTAATAAAAGATTTAAAAAAAGAACCGGTAAGATTTCCTGACAAGCTTTCACATAATGCTGCTCTAAGCCTCACCAAGAGGTCCAAGATTGCCTCTTCTTGTTGCAGGTCATCATCTCCTTCCGGAAGAGCTCTGGGGGTGTGTGTGGGAGTGGGAGGGTTGGCAGGGGGGAGCGTGTGGAGGAGCCACACACCACATAGCTAATAAAAGATTTAAAAAAAGAACCGGTAAGATTTCCTGACAAGCTTTCACATAATGCTGCTCTAAGCCTCACCAAGAGGTCCAAGATTGCCTCTTCTTGTTGCAGGTCATCATCTCCTTCCGGAAGAGCTCTGGGGGTGTGTGTGGGAGTGGGAGGGTTGGCAGGGGGGAGCGTGTGGAGGAGCCACACACCCAGAGACTCAGACTACACCTCTATGATTGACAGTACAGGTTTGTTTATTCTTAAGCATGGGCCTAGTAGAAAAAATAATGTTCCAAGAGTAGCATACAAAAAGGAGATTTTCAAATAGAAAAACACAAACTGAGTCATACAATACCCTCCCCACATCCAGTGCACTAAGTAAATTACAATGGCATCTCTCTTGCAGAGCCTGTCTTCTCCAGACACATTTTAAAGTTATTTTCATCAAAATTTACAATATAGACAAAGACTAGGAGAAAACTGTTGACAGGTATCAGCCCATGTGGCCCTCGTTAAAGGTAGGCTGCTATCTCTGCTTCTAGATATATTCTGTTAAGGCCTCTTGTATAAAGAGGGAATCTTCAGAAACCCGTTGACATGCTAATAATGGCATGGTTAGCACTACTGTTTGGGTTAATGCAACCAAGTGGGCTCCGCCTGGAGCTGATGGACTGCTTTGAAGCTCAAGCTTTTCTCAGGGGACGTAAATGTCATTATAACTTCATTGGTGAAGGTGCCAGGAACAACTGATTGCATGAGAAATCCTTTCAATCAGTGCATTTGCATATTCACTTTATCGTGAAACTAAAGTGAATGGGTTTTTATATTGCAAACGGATGTGTCTGAATAGTTTTTAGATTATGAACCAGCAGACAGGGTTCTGCTCCTGGAGTTACATTATGAGCGTGGGCAGGACAGTACCTGACTAGAGAAGGATCTATCTAGCTCCATCAGCCTGCCACAGGATCTCCCCGCCTCCCTCCCTGCCTGGAAAGCGGCCTCACCCTAGGAGGCTGAAGTTACTGCACTGCAGGCCTCCCTGCTTTTAGACAGGCTCCTCCTGCTTCCCCTCCAGCCTGTGTGGGGAGGAGCCTGCAAGATGAAGCCTGCTAATTATCATGTGGCCACTGTGTGGGTTCAGATGACACCAGGGAACAGGTCTGCATTAAGTCCCCTAACACCAAGGAAGAGAGGAACGGCTTACTCGTGCCAGTGACGTCCCAACCCCTGGATGACCATTCCCTTCAAACTGAATGCAAAAGCCCCGAGCCATCCTGTCCTTCTTCGCAGCACCTGGACCTGGGCTGCAGCACCGGCTCTCCTCACCAGCGAGGCTAGCAGGGTCACTGCTCAGCACTCACTTCAGAGCATGTCACCAGTTCCTCAGTGCCGGCCGCCTCGGCACAACCACAGAAGGCTCCTGTGTACCGGGGAGCATCATCACCTTCTCCCCCTTCCAAGCAGGCAGCTGCATCTGTGAGACTGAAGGCGAGTCCAGGTCCTTCTCTTCTTTATTCAGCCCCAAAGAAGAGCACTGGGTCCAATAGGCTGTCCTTGGACTGAGCACAGAAGGAACAAAAAGGTCCTCTTCACGGCCACAGGCCGAGGTGCGCCCTCCCGCTTTCATTTTTTGAAAGGGGTGAGTTTGTTGAAGGTGTGCCAGAACAGCGAAGGCTTCCGCTTGGGTTCTGCCAGGGCAAACACCTGCTGCTGAGGGATGCTGGTGGGCACCGTGACATGGCGCTGGTGCATGGGGTGCAAGCTCTGGTGTGGTGGGGCCACGGGGCATCCATTATAGCCTGACTCAAGAGAGAAAAAAGAAGATACATGGAACGAGAGTCACTTATTAACCAAAAACGAAAAAAAAATTTCAAGACTTAAAGTTCTTAGCTGATTCTCAATTCACATCCACCAAAAGTACATTTGACAGCTATCGTAACACATGTAGCCCATGTTGTGTGTGGAGATGAGACATAGTTTATCTCACTGAATCCTCACAAAAAATCCTCCCAAGGTACCATTAAAGGAATGTGGCTGATAAGAACACGGAAACCAGAGAGGTTATGTGAATCTTTAGTCACATGGCAGTAAGTGGCAAGATTAGAACTAGACTGCTATTTGGGATGAGAAACAATACCATGTTGCTCGGCCCAGAGCCTACTCTATCACTTATGAGCTGTAAGTATTTGGGAAATCAGTTGACTTTCCTGTACTTCAGTTCCTAAATCTAAAGCAGAGATACCAGTGCCCACTGGGGAATGAGAATTAAACGAGTTAATAGAAGTAATGTGCCTAGAACAGTGACCCAGATACCTCATCAGTTTAATCAAAACTGCTTTATTAAAGTTGATATTTTAAATTTGTGCAGAGGTGATTAAAAAGGCGTATTAAAATTAGCTACAAGGCCACACAGTACCTGGGAAAGTCAGTATGATAAGAGGAAAGACATCCCTGCCTCTGGCTTGCCACAGGCTTTCCCTATCTCCCAGGATGACAGGGAGGATGAAGTGAGGTAACTCATGAAAAGTGCCTGGCAGGTGACCTTCAGCTGCACTTTCAGGGGCCTCACTGCTAAGCTAGTGACTCTTGGAAGACACAGAAATGAATAAGTTCTAATAAACTGATATTTATTGGTCACTTGACATTAAAGTGAAGATGTAAAAAAGAATACGGCGCGTTTTTCTGCCTTGAATGTGTTTATAAAAAGGCTTATTAAAATTAGCTACAAGGCCACACAGTACCCTAGGGGGGAAATTCTGCATTTGAGTGGTGGGAGCAGGAAAATGTTGAGTGTTATTTTGGCAATGAATTCGTCTTGGTGCAGCAGTTGATGGCTTATCATAGTCCTAGGCTGAACTGATCCTTCTTTATGCATTTTCAGTTAGGAAAATACTGAGTAGGATAAATGTCATAGGGTAATCCCTCTTGGAGTCAATCTGAATTAAGTTTAAAAAATATAATATTTTTGGAATAAAGATCTTCAGTGTTTCTGTTGGGCTAAATATAAGTATTACCTACTTGAAGAAACTCTGCCTGCACATTGGAACCCGGGTGTGTGTGTTTGTGTGTGTGTGTGTGTGACCTGGGCGTTGGTATTTTTAAACAGCCGCCCGGTCATTCTGAGGTGCTTGCAGGGTAGAGAATATGCTCTAAATAAGCGAGTCTGTCTTGTTTTTCCTTAGCTCATTGCGTGATGTACTGAACTTCCAGATCTTCTTACTTGAACTAAAATGTAGCCTGCAGGGACACGCAGCCAGGGTTGGAGATTCCTCCTCACATGTCCCAAAGATACAAGAGTGGCTGACCGCCTCAGACTAAGGAATGCTGACCTGGCCATACCATCACCCCTCAGCGGGGGGCCCAGCGGGGTTGTGGGCAGCAGAGGGAGGTCTGGGAGCTCTTGGCTACCAATTCAATACACCTTTTATAGATGCATATGCAAATGTAAGCAAAAAAAATGGAAGTACATTCAAAATCAAATGCTCACTATGGTAAAACTGCCCGTTATTTTGGATCTATCATTTTGAGTTTCATCCATACTCCTCTCCTTCATTCAGAGTTGGTCATGTGCTAACTTTGAGCCTTCCCCCAATTTTAATTCCAATGCTGAAACACATTACAGAGAGGGAGGCTTCTGCAAAACTTACCTTTTGACTTTCCATGTCCTGCCTTTTGAGCATTTAACATGGCAAGTTTCTTTTGATTTTCAGAAATTTCCATTCCTGTATTTAAAAACAAAGGTAATACGTATTCAAAACAAGTGAAAACATTTTAGATTAAAACTTGCGCCGTAACCCATGTTACCCTGAGATATTCATCATAACCTGAAGCAAAGAACCTTGATCCTTGAGGAACTAGAAGAAGTCAAAAGACTGGATAAGAGAAGAAAGGAGCCAGGACTGTCACTAGGACACCGGGAAGACTGAAATGGGGTGCCGTGGGAGGGATACACAAACTACCTGTGCAAACTCAGATGTGTCACACAGTCACCCTATTATCCCCCTAAAGGATAAGGCTCTGGGAGGAAAGGATGAATCAAAGGCCGCAGGTCTGCTCACTCACTGTGAAAGCTGAGTGAGTTCTGATTGTCCCCTAAACAAAGGTATCATTTGAGTAATGGGAACTAAATTTTGTACCCCAACTGTAGAGAGCATGAGGAGAGTGGCACGGACAGAGGCAGAGGCGGCCACAGCTGCCGGACTGGCCCTGCCCTGGGGGAGGCCTCCGCCTGGGGGAAGGGGACCTGGGCTCTGCACTCTGCTGCCTGGGGTCACTCGCCAGGGCTCGCCCTCCACCTTCGAACACGCTGCTCCCTATGCCCTGACTCCTCGACATGCTCAACATCTTCCCTAGTGAGTCATGAGGTCTCCTTCAGGCTCCACACACTGGACCCCTGGCTTCTACAGCTCGGAGGCCTACCCTGGCCTTGCCTTATTCCCCCCCTCCATGCCCCGCCTGTTCAATGGCACAAGCTCTGGGATCGACCTATACCAGTGATGGCGAACCTCTTGAGCTCGGCGTGTCAGCATTTTGAAAACCCTAACTTAACTCTGGTGCCGTGTCACATATAGAAATTTTTTGATATTTGCAACCATAGTAAAACAAAGATTTATAATTTTGATATTTATTTTATATATTTAAATGCCATTAGCAAAGAAAAATCAACCAACAAAATGAGTTCGTGTGTCACCTCTGATGACACGCGTGTCATAGGTTCACCATCACTGACCTACACGCAATATACTGGGCACCTAGGCTGACAGATATACCAGGCAATGGCCTGGGTCAGTCCCATTTTTGTCCACTCTCATCCAGATCACAGATTTAATGGCTCCAAGAGTGCCATTCAGGATGAAGCCTGAGCCTTCATCCCTGTATTCATTCATTCATTCATTCATTCATTCATTCCTGTCTCTCTTTTGAGCACCAGCAATAGGGAAGTGCTGAACTGCAAAGGTACAACATCAGGTCCGCCCTTGCTTCTCCTGCCAAAGGGCAGAATTGAGAAGTATTTAGAATGCCCTTGTAACATTTGGTCCAATCTGAGGAAAAACCAAAACACTCCAACTTACACATGATTTCAGGGTCTGCACTAGACAACAGTACATGGCAGGTAAGATTAGTATTTTGTGGCTCTCTCAGTTTGCATTTGAATATATGTGACCTTCAACTATCTGAAGAATTCTCGGCATGATGGAGTGATGAGCCTTATTCCAATGAGGCCTGAAAGTCAAAAGCTGCACCAATATATGGAAGTGGCTGGGGATCAGCTTTCCTCTGGGAATAAATACAGGACACTTCCACTTAGAGGAAGGGGTCACCTACAGCAGTGAGCTCTGTGTCATTAGAGGTTGAGGAACAGGCCAGTGCTCAGCTATTAGAGTGTTTCAGAGGAGATTCCTGCTTCTGATGGTGAGTCAGCCTGGCTGAGTTGTAAAGCCCTTTCTACTCTAATACCAGTATATGATCCCACGAAACCTCCTATTGTGAGAGCAACATTTGTGGCCAGCCTGAGCCAGTGCTGGTGACACACACTATGGGAGGGCCAACGGAGCACCGGCTGGTTTTGTTCTGGTTTCCTCATGGCAGTGGGCGGGGGAGACAGAGGGGGAGGGCCTTCTCCATCCTGCACCACTGCCTTGGGGGTCTGGGACCAGGAAGGCTGCAGAGAGGGGGATCCTTCATCCCACCTCATCTCTAGGGCCCATGGTCCCTGTGGCATCCTGACTTACCTTCAACAGTTTGTGCTCAAAACTCTACTGTGCCAGGGAGGCACTGGAGCCCGGCTGAGACTGTGCCCCACCGTAAACACCAGGCTGGAGGGTTTGCCCCACAGGCAGTGAATACCTGGAGGGGAGCAGCAGTGTGAAGAAGACAGTGGTCCTGCATATGGAGAGGCATGGCCCTTACTGCAGTACAGGGCCGTAAGCCTCGATTTTTTCATCTGTAAAATGTGTACAGCAATAGTATCCACGTTTTGAAACGAAATGAGATGCTCTCTGTAAATGTGTAGGAGAGCATCTGGCATGTAAATGTTGCCTGTGTTAATTACATCTGCCACAGCCTGTCTTGTAAGCAAATTTAGAAATGTTTAGAATTTGCAAATCCCTTTCTTTTTCCACAGGTGGGAGTTAACTCTGTGGGAGAGGGCTGGGGAACGAGGTTAGAAAGCAGAGGACAACGAAACCCCGTGGCGCTGAGCGCTGCTTACCCATTTCCCGGTCCTCCTGCACACGTCTCCTCTCATCCGCACAAGCCTGCAGCCACCTCGCCTTGTCTTCCTGTTTCTTGGCACAAAACAGATGGGCCTCGTCAGTGGTTTTGCTGACGAGCTTGAAGGCGTTTTTCACGCTGAGGTTCCAGTCCTTGTCCCGCCCGTCCTCTAGGTCCACGAGCTCCATGTCATCCATGTCCATGCGGCCCCTGTAATAGAGCATGTCCCTGCGCAGCAGGTCCTTCTTGCAGGACACGAGCTGGTGGTCAAACAGAAAGAATGTCCGCTGCTGGCTCTTGCCTTGCTTAGTGATTCTGGTCAGCTCTCCAGAATGGATCAGTTCTGAACTTCGGTCTAAAATGTCCCGTCCCTGGAGGATGAAAACACACTGTGAGACCTTCCAATTCTTACCTCCAGGTGCCGGGAGCCCTGACCCAGAAGCCTCCCCAGATTTGCCAGGTGCCCAAGGCCCACTCACCCGTAGCCAAGCCTCAGAGGCCATTTGAAACCTCGGTTTGTTAGTCTTTTTGCGTGTGAAGGTTCTTTTGTTTCCTACTAAATGGGAAAATGTTACAGGGCCTCTGTTATCTGAGGTGACTTCCTTATCAGAAAGAGCAGTGAAGAGCCTGCTGGGCTAACGAGTCCGATCAAGGTCTGATATGGCAGCTGACCAAGGCCGATCCTTGGAGAACGAGGACCACAGGTAGGTTTGGGCAGGTGGGACAAACTACAGATGCTCTGGCTTTAGTCAGGCCTACAGCAGCTGCCTGGCCTAACGCGTTTAGGATCTTTGGAAACTAAAGGCCAAGTGGCAAGTTACCAGCAAGATAATTGGAAAACTTCTGACAATAAATTATCTCCCCGGTGTCAGAGTCCAAGAACGGAAGGAAAACCACACTTTTATCATATTTAGGTTTGGGTCTAATTCAATGGAACTTTATGGTATTTAGCACGACATTGGCTTTCAATTTTACAAATTGAAGATTTTATTCTCCTTTAATCTCAGTCATTCACAACATTTTTTTGTAGGCAAAAGCTCTTGACTCCAAAATACCTCTTCTATTTACCTGCCTCAAGCAATTCTGTGCCCTAGATTCTTCACTTACAAAATAAGAGAGTTAGACTCGGAGATCTCTGAGGGCCTGTCCAGGTTCCAGAAGTCTATAAGGCCTTGAAATACAAGTATTTCTTTCCACCTTTCATCACTATTATCTACTTTAGTTAAAAACTTAACTTCTCAGCCCAAACTTTCACAAGCCTTTGGGAAAGTGAGTTTTGACCAATTAGTTTGATGTAGGATGAATCTAGCTTGTTCTAAAAACAATATGAACAGCACCAATTTATCAATCTTAAGAATGGCCACAGAGACCAGTGGTTAGCAGCATGGACTCTGACGCCAGGCTGCCTGCCTGGGTCTGAATCCAGTTTGGCCACTTCCTAGCTCTGTGGCCATGGCAGGCCACTTAACTGTAGGTGCTTTAGCTTCCTCATATGTTAAATGGGTGTGAGATTTCCTACTTCATTGGACTGTTGAGAGGATTAAAATGAGTTCATACATATAAATGGCTTAAACCAGTGCTAGGCATGTGGTAAACACAATACAGGTACTATTGTCATCATTCCTATTTTTAGAAATAAGTGTGTGTGTGCCCACATTCATGCTGGACCATTACTACAGGCTGTATTAGGCATTGCATTTGCGCTGTCTTATATAATCCTCACAATAGCCCTACGAGGTAGGAAATAGTTTCCTCTCCATCTCTTAGATGAAAACAGTGATCATGCCCAGGTCATAGGGGATTCACACACAGGCAGGGTGGCTGCACAGTCCATACTCTCACCAACTGCAATTTATTTAAATCTTCTCCAGCTGCTTCATGAAGCTCATGCTCTAGCAGGAGAGAAGGCAATAAATTTTAATTACAGACACTCCTAAGAGTGTTTCTTGGGGGAGCTAAAAGGTAAAGTAGTTGACTTCAACTCAATTATATGCCTCAAAATATATACAGGTATCCCCTGCTTCTTGAAAATTCTCTTTATACTACTACTTTACTAAAGACCTACATTAGTACCTGTTTTTGCTAATGGAAAGAAAGACAATTTTCATTTTTCAAAAAAAGGGGAGAAGCAATAATAGCGTTCAGTGTTGGTTTTGCAGGGAGCCATTACAGAGGCAGCGGCACTGGAGTGTCGAGTGTCAGGCTTGGCCCCAGGAAGCTCCTTCTCTGGAACCACACCCTGCATCACAGGTCCAGTGTGAGAGCCCAGCTGCATCTGTGGGCATCTGCGCAGTGAAAACTGTGAGCCAGGGCCCAGATGTCATGGACAGGCCTTTTCTCGGTTTATTCTGTGAATCTGCTAGCAAGATGTGTCCTGAGGTGTTGGTCTTTGGCTTTGCACCATTTCAGTGTATGAACATTTCATAGGAATGTGCTAATTCCAGACAGCAAGGGAACCCTGTGTACCATCAAGCCATGAGTATAAAGTATCAATCATAGGACATCAAAGTCTGTCATTAAACTAGACCAAAAGTAGGGGAGGGTGTGAGTGGTGATGCATGATGTGGGGTGGGGGTGGTATCCACTCACCTCCCAGCCTACGATGGATACTTGCCAACGCGCTATCTTGTCTATACTCTCCAGCTTGCGTTTGCGCTCATTGATCAAACAGGCTACGTTTTTCATGGCCTCGTAGGCTGCCTTTATATTGTTGTAATCACTGAAAAGGGAGAGGTGAATTTTAACCATATGACAGGCTACTCAACAAAATAATACGCTCCTTCCCCGATCTGTATACTAACAGTCTAGACAACATGGCATTTAAACAGTAGCCATTGTTCCCTTTGTCTTGTTCCTCCATGAATAGGCTGTAGTCTGCATAGGTTAAGGGAGCTGACCAGCACAATCCAGAATTCTTTGGAATAAGAATGTTGCCCTCATTTCCCAGAAATTACCATGAATGAAAGTAAATGCCACAAGAAATGTCTTAATCACTGTGACAATGAATGATTTTCATTAATAAAGAGTGGTCTGTGATTGCTTTGGTTCTAATATAGCAAGTTGGCTATATAAAGTACTTTAATATAATCAATCACTAACCATTTTCAAGAGTAATAATTTGCTCTGAGTCCCATCTTTCAAGGTGTTCAGGAAAAGACACCAGAGAACACAGCCACAGAAGGTTGACCTAATGAGTCATGTAAACGCCAACGTGGCATTTACTTCATCAACAGATCTTCATTTCTGGTGCTTTCCATAGGCTACAGTCAAATCAAACTAACTGCTGCCCCACTAGGCTCCTGCTCCCAGGGCCTCTAAACTATAGGTAATAAAAGGACTAAAACTGGACTTCTAATCTGCACACAGGCTAAGAGATGTCCGCTATTGGAAACTTTCACATCCAAGTTTTGCCCAGTTAGTAACGGGAATATGTAAGCCAATCGTCCAGTGGATGAGCTGGATTTTTTACTTTCTAGCACTTTCCTTGTCTTACAGGGCAGACAGAGCCTATGGACTCAGTGGGACTGAAGTAGAGTTTTCCTGCAAAGCCCAGAGAAAAGCCTTGGAAGCAGGTTCTAGTGTTTATTTACCAACCACAAGGAAACGCGGCTCCCAGGAAGTCTCTGGCCATCTGCCCAGAAGGCAGACCTGCTGTCTCAGACAGGCGATTCACACAGCAGCAGAGGAAGAAGAGAAAAGATTCAAGGGGCTGCCAAAATCCTGGAGCACAGTGCCCAGGGAGCTCTCCAGCAAGGAAGAAAGTGGGCACGATAATGGTTTTCTTCTGCAAGTTTTTATTATATATATATATATATATATATATATATATATATATATATATATACACACACATACACACACACACACATATATATACACACACACACACACTAGAGGCCTGGCGCATGAAATTCGTGCATGGGTACAGTCCCTAGTCTTGGCCTGCGATCAGGGATAT